AAATGCAGAAGGTAGGGACGTTTTGTGCCAAAAAATGATTGGTAGGGATGTTTTCTACAATAAACTTGATAGGTAGGGACGTTGCGCACCAAAAAATCAAACGTTGGGATGTTTTCCACACAACCCTTCAAAGGTAAGGACGTTTTGCGCCAATAACCCTAAATTAAACATTCACTTTATAGTTTCAGTATTTAAGAAATAAAGGTATCAAAAGTTAGGGCTTGTTTGGGAAGGATTAAAATCTAATTAAAATTGATAATAGAGCCGTTATTGGGTCCCACTTGTCTAATAAAAGTCAACTCCAACAGCTATATTTTCAATTTTAATATGATTTTAATCCCTTTCAAACAAGCTCTTAATCTGTTTATTAAAGATTACAATTTTGTTGATGACTAAAAATGTCGCGACTCTTTTTAATCAACTTAAGTAAATTACGATAGAATATTTGTGTAATGTTTGATAGTAATAAGGATGTAATTTTCTTGGTATTCTAGCAAAAGTAATATTACAACTCAATCCATTTCCTGGGAGTTTTATTCTCTTATGTAGTTCACTGAATTTGAGTTTGTCATCTTAGTCATGTCAAGTTACAGTATCCAACCTAGATCTACGTGAAATTGTCCTTTTTTAAAATATTTGATTGGCTTCAGAGATCGACGGTGGCGAGGTCATCATAATGCTTAGGCTATATGCATGTATGTAGGCTATCATGACTTTATTTTGATTTACTGTTTGGAACGATGTCATCGTTCATGAAACATTTTCAGTGTCACGATGATATATTCAGATGACGTTTTTCTTGGTTCGACCTGCGTGGATATGATCTTGGGTCGACCTTCCATGACTTTATTTGGATATATTGTCGGGAATGTCATGATGATAAATTCAGATAGCGTCTCCCATGATCCGATATGCGTGAGTGTAACCTTGGATCGACCTTCCATAGTGTCCAATTTGATTTGGATAAAAAGACTTCATTAACGAATTCGAGGTGTACCCTTGTGACATATAGTTGTGTCTAAAATTTTCATATATTTTAAAAAGTTACCAAAATTTCTAGAAGATTAATAAATAAAAAAAATCTTATGAGTTAAAATGTTTCTTATACTTTTTGAAAAAAAAATTAATTTATAAATGTATTCGAAATAAAAAATATTAACATTTTAGAAATTTCCGGAAGGGGGAGGTGTGGAATGGAAGAGCCGGAGTGAATTTTGATGTTCGAGGTTGTGGGACAGTGTTGGACTTTTGGATAGTATATCATAACAAAAAACCTCACGTATTCATTAATGCACGCGTTACACGCGGTCAGTTTGTTCCGTTTTTTCTTTTTCCTAAGTGAGTAATCAATCTCCTATTTTTTCTTGGAAAATTATGGTGGTCCTTGTTGGATATTTACACGTTCCCACTCAAGCGTTTCTTGAATCCCAAGTGTTTTTTCTACGTGTATACGAGAATTTTGTAATCATATAATTTTGAAATTTTAATATTATACTGGGTGCAAGCAACGTGCAATGCACGTTTCGTAGTTTATATTTAATAGTTTTGTTTAAGAATTAATTTGTTATTAATAAAGATGTAATTTTTTTGGTTAGTTAAATAATTAATGATATAATGTTTATGTAATTGATAAATAATTAGATGTGTGATTTTGATGTTGTGATGTAAGTTGGTGAGATC